TATAATATTTTTTTTCGGTATTTTTAGATTATTTTAACTTAACACTCATTCATTTAAGTTAGTAATTCGGCATGTTCACATTAAATTGTAATCTCTAAAAGAATTTAATTTAAAATAAAAAATAATATTTTTTAAAAGTATTTTTAAAAGAAATACAAAAGCAAGTAAAAAAATGAGGTGTTGGGAGGAAAAATCATAGTTTTTACAGTTTTGGTTGCGTCAACTAAGTTATTTATGACTTTAAAGGATAAAAGAGCAATTAATTACTTTCTAAGAGTAGAGGGACTATTTAATGTCATTCACTAAAATATAAGGATTAAATTATAGTTTTCGTGCTGCCTTTGGCACGCACTTCAAAGGCAAGTACGTGGATCTAAATTTGATTCTAGAAACAGTACAGAACCCCTTTTTACTTTTTTTCTTTTCTCCCTTCTTTCCTCTGCAAACATTAGTTATAGTAGCCCGTGCAAGAATCAAATTTGATAAGCTTGTCGTCGCTCCTGACAAGCCTTCAACAGGAACGTTTTCTATGGCATTTCAAGCAATTTTCTTAGTACAAGATACCCCCCTGGTACACTTAAATTAATCAGCACACAGTGACGCAGCAGAGTTTTTAAAGAGAAGGATCCCCTTATAATCCACCAAGGTACAATCATTACGTCCCCATGCCACTGATCTGGTCAATCAATTTGCATGTAATAAAGAATAATCATCCATCCAGCAGATTCTGATTTGAGCTGTTTAACCTGCCAATTAATGCATATTCTTAACTGGGAACCATGAGATCACATGTGTGTGCTTGATGTTTCAAGGTTAATTTGGAATTTTTTTTTTTTAATTTGGAATACGGCTGCAGAGGGTGATGGTGTTCTGGGGCTTAATGCTTTGGAGGTAGCAAGAAACAGGATTACCTGGCTAGATATTTGTCTTTGCCATTCCAATGGCAGCTCTCTTATTGCATGACATATAATAATCAATCAAGGCTTCTGGTGTCGTGTTTTGCGAGTGAGGATACAAGTGGTGGTGGGTCATGCAATTGCGCTGGTGGGTGCCTCTGCATTATACAACTCGTCAACCGTCAATGGTTTTAATAAATATTATGGGAATCTCGAGATACTGCCTTAGGTGGCCATTGATTTTCTTCATATAAAATAAAAACTGAATTAAGTTATTCTAGATTTAATTCTCTTCATATGTTCATCGAGGTGAAAACACAAAATCCTTCGAGTTTTTGGTTGGTGCATTTACATGTCATATTGAAAGGAGGAGTGGAAAAGTTAAAGTGTTTTTTGTTTTTGAAATTTATTAGAATTATATTTTTTTATTTTTTAAAAATTATTGTTGATATCCGTATATCAAAATTAATTAGAAATGCTAATTTAAAATAAAAAATTAATTGTTTTTAAAATTCTTTAAAAAATACAACCTAATAAAAACAAATAGAAAGGGTACGGAGTCAAGAAATGGGGCGATGGGCGGAAGAGTAAATGACAAGGGGTTGGCTCCTAGAAGATTGGATGTTATATATATATATATATAATGTATGGTTTTGAAGGATTTCTTATAGCCGCCAAATTAAAGGGATAAGAAATGGAAAGGATCCAAATGAAATGCATGCATCGCTTGCTGGTTCACTTAATTTACCCCTTCTTACAGGACATCAGTTCCTGGAATGACTGTGACTTGTAATTTACGCACGTTCTCCTTCTGCCGAGCGAGCTGCCAGCTCATCAATTTCCTTCTTTTTTACGTCCTGCTTTTTACTGTGCAATTGCAGGGTCCTCTTCCATAGGATCTCTTGCCCCACGAAACTTTCCAGTCGAGATGCACATTTTTTCCCCCAATGACGAGACACAAAATCAAGATCAATTGATCACGTGCATATAAGATTTCTTCATTGTATCTAAGCATTAGATTCTCCCTCCCGACTATGTCGCTTGAGAAATGTCGGTGTCGGAAAATAAAATGATTGAGGATTCACTGCAATTATTTTGGTTTTAATATGACCATTTGTAAGATTCATTTTTATTTTTATTAATATAGATATCAATCAATTTTATATATGTATTTCAACTAATTTCAATAATATAAAATTAACAATAATACAAATCTTCGGTTGTTTTAAAATTTATAAAATTTAAATTAATAATTTTTAGAAAATAAATATAGAATTTAATCAATTCAATTATATCTCTTAGAATTTTATTTAAATCCATTTTTTTAATCATTCAATAAATAATAAAATTAAAGAGTTAATAAAAAGTCTAAATTGATGAAATGATAATTTATTAAAAAAATATTTAGTATTATGATGTAAGGTGTTTTTTATTTTAAATTTATTAAAATAATTTTTTATTTAAAAATATTTTTAATATCAATACATTAAAATCACCTACAAAATTATATCAACTTAATATTTGTTTTTTAAAACCAAACATGCATTTAAAATACAGCACCCAGGATTTCAACAGCAAAAACAAATTCTGCCTAACATTGACATATGCAAGCAGAGGGCATGCGATACTGATTTCAACAGTGCTAGGTTCAATCCTTACTTTGCTGGGGATGGGTGAGGGTCCCACCTGGCAAACCCAGCAAGTGAAGACGGGTCCCACCTCATGCCACTAAAGAGAAGGGGAGTGGTCATCGCTCATCAATAACACTCCTACTTCACAGCCGTGGGGCAGCGGGGAATTTCGAAGTCCGCGGCACGACTGGGACCTCATCCAGGCGAAGTTTAAAAAAGTTCGGTAAGAGATAATTTAGATTAAGTAATTTAATAATCAAAACAAAGTTAAGACTCAATTTAACTCTAAAGGGAAAGTAAATGGTATCGGTTTAATTTTCTTTATTAAAATCAAAACTATATTATTCTTAATTGATCTTGACCGTCTTCATAGCTCATACCGAATTTAATAGCTATAAAACTTGATGGAAAGGAAGAATGTACTTAAATTTCTTTTTTTAATCGAGTAAGGACAAGTCTCCGGAGGACCCATGACCTTCATTCTCAGCCGTCCAATGTGGCCATCAAGAAGACAAAACACTTTGCTTTTGAAAACCCATGAGCTGCGAGTGGGCGATTATTTTAACAACACACCAAATTCAAGTTTACTTCCTAATCCATCAATTATATGCAAAAATGGTGGCTTAATTTTATGGCTGTCGTCACGCACCGGCTCCACATCACATCCTTTATTCTAACTATAGATGACTTCTTGACACGTGGCGTGATGGTGACATGGACAGTGGGACACACTTCAATTGGAAGCATACACGTGGTGGGCTGTGAAAGGCCATGGAAGGGAGCTTGGTTGGGGTGCTGACTAGCCCACGTGGATGATGGGGCCTACTTTGAATTGCGAAACAACATTTGTCAAAGAAGATAGGCTCATATGGTGGGGGCCGTTGAACGAAGATAATGAAATCCGACGTGGCATGGACACTGAACATCAAACCTCGTGACTTGTTTGGGTTATTGAAACCATCCACTGAACATCAGCTAATGAATTTTACATATTCATCTGCTTTCCATATCTATTGAATATTTATTATTCAAGAATCAATGAAAAATAAAATGGTAGTATATGTTTTTGAATATATATATATATATATATATGTATATATAAAGATATGATTATATTATATTGGATTAGAGAAAATATAAAGGTTCTAATATATATCTATATAATATAAATATATATTCTATTTTAGATCCAGGTTTGCCATGAAAATATTCGTATCTTATTTATTATCTCATTTATTACACTCATCTATTTGAGTCAATATTCAACATCCTCGTATTAAATTATAATCTCTAAAATAAATGATAGCATAAATTCTCAACTATAAACTATTATAGGGTTTCATTTTATTGGGAAAATAAATTGTAATATTATTTTTTTCATGAATTTATCATGTTATTTCAACTCGATCAATCAATAATTAGTGGGTGTTTAAATTATGAACTTAATCATAACTCAAGTATTTTAATTTTAAAATCTTATGAAAATCGAGAAAACTGGCAATACATCGTAGTGGGTATGACTTAATTTATCTCAATTAGTCCATAATGACATAGACTTAATCACAATGTATGGTATGTTTCTTTATCCTGATCCTCCAATGTTCATCCTAATCCTCCAAGATTGGAATTTCAGAACAGCACACACCAAACAGAAACGTTTTAAAAAATGAAATGCATTAGGTAAACATGGCATGGTTATAATATTGACAGTTGGAAGCTACCAAAGAAAGTCCCATGAGATGGATATGATGAAAACCCTAAAGACTAAAAATAGTCCACAATTTATAATCGAATATCCAAATTTGGCATGTCATTTTCATGTAATCTTCACTCTCCTTTCGCACCCCACAATCCTCTTTCCTCGGTCACTGGCTCGTGCACCTCACTTGCTTCCAAATGCAAGTGAAAAACACACCCAAATAAAACGTTGTTATTAAAATAACCTGGCGTCGCTTACGTGATGAACTCGATAATTTGTTAATTCAAGATTTGATGTACAATGAGTTTTATATTAAATTCTGTGGAAATTCATTTCATTTAATTCAGTTAAACCGAGTTTTACATTAAATCATGTAAAAATTTACTCAATTTAATTTACTCAATTGATAAGTTCAATCGTCGAGTAAATGAAAAACTGTGCAAGATATAATTTGATTTTTTATAATTTGTTTCAAAACAAAATAGTTTTAACTTAAAAAAATCTCAAAACAATTACATTTTGAAACCTATATCTTAAGCCCTGAATTGAATTATAATAACACTAAAAAAAAAAAAAACACCAACTCCGCTGTCTTTTGTTTTTGTTTTTCCTTTTTTACAGTTCCTTGCCAATTTGGCGTCTTCCGCTCTCACCAGCCATACATTTTGCTTGATTGATTGGAGTTCATGAGATGAAGACAAAATGAACTCCAAATTCACATGAAATGAAAAATCAAGCTTCCTTTACTGAAAAACAAATGCTGTTATTATATATACACATGTCTCCTCCCTCAAAGCCGCCTTATGTTAGAGTCTCTCTAATGGACTCCTGACAGCTTCTCGTAACTGTGCTTTATAGAAGCTGTATAGTGTAGTATATAGTTATTTTTTAGGCTCGTCACCAAGAATTTCATGACACTATATGGCCAAGGGCAGGAGACTAACAACAAGTCGCAGCGAACGATTGTTAGGGAGTAACTACAGCTATGGCAACGGCCAAATCCCGATCGTGAACGAGGTGTCCGAGCTGGGTGAGGAAGATGTGTGGTCGATGGTGGACGACACGGCTGACCGGGGTGACAGTGCTGTTAGTAATTCGAACGGAGCGTGGAATCCACGCGCTGAACTTGAGAGTAGCTTCGATCACATGTCTATTAGTGGAGGCCGCCGTAGAATCCCACGAGATGACCGCAACATGGGCGGGCTGTCCTTGGCCTTCGAAGATTCTTCTTCTGGGAGCAACAAAACAGCCTCCTCGAGAATCGTGCACCAGTTTCGTGGGAACGATCTCGTGGCATCGGCGTCACCTCGTCACATGGCCACATCAGCTCCCGTGAACGTGCCCGATTGGAGCCAGATCTATCGAGTTAACTCGGTTGAGTCGTTGCACGACTCGGACGACGGGTTCGACGATCAGGAGTCCGAGATGGTCCCCCCGCACGAATACTTGGCGCGTGAGTATGCACGGAGCAGGAAAACAGGCGGCGCCTCGGTGGTCGAGGGTGTTGGCCGGACATTAAAAGGCCGCGACATGAGGCGCGTGCGTGATGCAGTGTGGAGCCAGACCGGGTTTGATGGCTGATCATTTTGTAGCTATATCACATGGAAGTGTTGGTGTTGTTGCTGCTGCTATCGTTAAAAAAACCAAAAAAGAATGCTTGTGATTTTTTCTTGGGCAATGATTCGGCCGGGTTGGCTCGGCTTTGAAGGGGAGTCAACTCAGTAGCGAGTGAGCTCGAGCATGATTCTGAAGGTGGGGGTAATGCGATATTACCATTGCTTCTGTCCTTGTCCATAGGTTGGAATTTGGAGTTTGTACCCTCTTACTGTTAGTGGTAATTTGGTAATTTCAATCATTAAGTAGCGGCCATGCCGAGAGGCTGGCTTGTTCATGTAAAAATGGAAGGCGAACAAAAAAGGCGAAAGAAAATGTCAAACGCTGTGGAAAACAAATCTACTTTTGTGAGTTAGCAATGACCATGAATGAGAGCAAATCTTAGCACAGTGTTAACCCTTGCACGACATGCAAGTACATACAAGTACTAAATTGCAATCTCCCTTCTTCTTTCTGATTTGTTGTTGTCCGCGAAAACAAAATTATTTCTCTTATTGTTCATGCGTTTTAATTACATCAGTTCTTGTTTGTTCAGACATTAATTCTACACTCAAATTCAGAAGATAAAGAAGGATACCTGTTTCCTTGTTCATTCATGGTTTATGCTTGTGCTAACGGTCAAGCTTTGTGAAGGTTTAATTGTCCAATACCGTGATTCAGTTCTTGAATGCGGAAGATTAGTATTTTTCCATGTTTCTTTATGTTTTGATTTGCGTTAAAAAATTGAAAAACAAATCTAAAAAACAAGCTATTTTAATATATATTTTTAAGCAAAAAATCATACATCACACACGCTTAAACTAATTATAAATTCAATACTTAATTAAAATGAATCATATGCTATCCCTGTGATCTATATAGATGAGATTTCCGAATTGTATAGATCCCTTCCGATAAATGTATACATACCATGCTTCAATTATTTTGTGTCATTGGGTTTAATATGTGGAATAAATTAATTTCATAGGTTATACAAAAATTAACTCACATGAAAACTTTCTGCAGGGCATGATGTGTAATTAGTTAGCACAAAAAGATATTCAAGGTAGGGGGGATTCTCGGTCTTACTCTTTCAAAATCTCTGAAAAAATAGATGGATGCACGAGTATTTTTTAAAAGAAAATAATGGGAATATATACCAGTTGAAGTACAATTCGTTCGTCAATGATTGTTAATTATTTCTCGCAATGTAGGGTTGTTTATTCTATCCTTCTGGGGCTCAAATATAAGACACCCGAACATGAGCGAGCATCTTGTTCTTGAAGGGAGTGCTGAAAAACCAATGGCTCAAACGGTTTGAGTGAATTAATTAAGAACAAGGCATGGGATACAGAAACGGGACAATAATTGTGGGAACCAGCAGCGCCTGGAGAGAGAGAGGCAGCTTTTAATGGATGATGATAGGTGGTGCCAAGAGGGGTCGTGGGGGGTCACCTGATCTTGACAAGGTCAATAGAGGCTGTAGTTAAAGAAACAATATCAAGAGGTGTCTATGCCTTATGGCTAGCCTTTTTCAAGACAGGGACTCTACTCTTTTTATTGGGTTCACAGCTCTCGCGAGTCTAGAGCCATTGGCTTTTCCTTTTCCAAAAAATCCTGGTATTTTCTTTTTTCTCTTGAAGATGCTAATAAACACTCCACTACCGCCATACAAGAGTACTGTGGGATCTTTACAGGGTCCACAAGATTTGCACGATGATCATCGAGATCAATGGTCTCAGATTCTCATATATATTCTAAGTTCTTTTGTGATCCATGCAAGTGACATGACTATGAAAAAAAGAATGGAAGAAGTGGCATACAGTTCCAGTTGAGTTCTTTAAGAGAAAAAGGAAGATGCCGGTAACCTAAAATTCTGATGGTTATAATGTAATCGATTATCTCTCAATAAAAAACATTAAAGTAATGTTATTTTTGGCTTTCTTGACACGACGTTATTAAAATAAAATATGTTCTTCACGTCAAGTTATTAAATATGAATATTTACAGAAAACAAACCCCCGATCGATTCAAATAATTGTATTGCCCTACGTATTTCACTCGATCAAGTTAACACTGATTAGCATAGAAACTACTAGATGGAGAAGATATTAGAGAAGGTGTGGTTTTTGTTAATTCCAAACTCAAAATCATAAGCACCTGGCTGCAACATAAGATTGAGACTTGATGAATATTAAGGGCATTGTGTTATCTTACCTATTTATGAATTTGATAGCGATACCATGCTGGAAAAAACTTCTGCATTCTAGGAGTAGCTACCATTCTCTATTATTGCACTAGTTAATATATGATAATAAAGTCGATTTGATTTTAAATTATAGTGTATGAGAGTGTTTTCCTCTGACGTTAACTCTCTTCTAAGAAAATGATATCACTGTCCATCCGTTTTCTGGGCTGTATGAACCCATTGTCAGCTCATGTTCATAGGGTAGATATCGTAAGAGCCCAGTTGGTTGGGTTGGACAGAGCCGAACCTAATTAAACTATATTTTTTACTCAACATGAAATAAAATAATAATATATATAAATACATATTTCAGGTATGTTTGCATATATTAAAATTACAAATACTATACGTGTGTGTTTTGTCAATACTAAGTTATATAAACATAAATCATTTGTTCTTGGAACAGAGAAATATTCAGATGGGCCTTGCTTCTATGATAAATAGTTTCGAACAGCCATCCCAACTCAAAAATAGAACCTCTTCACTAATTTATTATTTTACAAATGGTTTAAGCAAGGGAATATTGTAAGGTTTTGCCCTTGTCTTGTTTACGCTTCAATATTTTCATGCTGAATAATGGAACAGGATGTCAGCGGCTGGTCTCCAGAGCATCTACGAATGATGAACTCACAATGCTACCGAATTCATCAAATAAAACTGTTCCATTAGTAACCAATCATGTGTTGTCCTGGAGCTATACATCGAAGATTTGTTGAAGCCAAGGGTTGAATACGGGATCTGTTTATAGATTTTGGAGACAGATGAACGAGGGACAGAAGCTTGCCACGCAAAGATACGTTGAAACCTTTCAAAATCTTCAATTCAGGAATTTGGTGGGTTATCGTAGACAGTAATTAGTAATGTGAAGCCACTCAAATCCCAGGAAATAAGACCTGGCTAATTTGCTACTGTGTGTGACAGGTGAGAAATCCTCCAATCCAGCTTGAAAAACTAAACCCCAAGAACCAGCACCAGCTGCTGCAGTTGAGTCTCGACAATCACTTCTAGCCCAGAAAGCCATATCCCAAGTACGTAGAGGAGGCCCTAGTTGCCAGTACCGAAAACTAATCTAACACAAAGGCATGTCGTTGAACCCCACCTTAATTTAATCACAATCAATCAGATTATGTTTTGACAGAACTTGTCCAGTGCATTTTCGACCTGCGCAAGCTCCTCTGGCGTTCCAAGAATAGGATCAAACTTCCAAACTTGTCTGCCAACAAAATTATCGGTGCCAGACAACCATGGACCACAAGGCCCTCACCTATCTCAAGCTCCCGCATTACCTGTTCTTTTCTACTCCCTTTGTACTTTAAATCTCACCCGAAACTCCAAATTATCAGTAAGCCCTACAAGTGTACACACGCGCGCACGATCACTGTCACTCTTTTAATTCTCTCTGACTAATTAAGTTATCCTGATCAAACCAAATTAGTCCATGACAGTCTCAATTGTATGCACATAAAAATTCAATCTACTCGTACGTAAAACAGTAGTTCTGGCCCCTGGATTGCGCTGGAGGTTCCTTCTTTTTCATTACCAAGATCCACTGATGTTAACTATAGCGTAGTATCGTATTTCTGTCGAAGTTATCTAAACCTTCCTTGCATTTCGGGACTCGTGCAATCTCATGATCTCCTACACCATAAAGGCAAAATCTAGATTACTGTATGATACAGCTAGAGCATCTAACACGTACCAAAAGATTCTGGACTTGTTGGAGGAAAACAATGCGGGGCATGAAAATGGTTGAGATTGCAACACAAAAAAAAAAAAAAACCCTCAAAGCAGGAAATTAGAAAATTAGAACTCCAGAATCCACTATTAAACATGGAACTGAGTGTAATAATGCTAATTTTGTACAAGTTAGGGGACCAAATAGTTAACTAATACAAACAACTTTTCTTCGGGGTTGGGATTTGGAAGATCTCCCAAATTAAGCGAAGCCTATCACCCCATGGAAAGCAAAAACCATCCGTTCTCTATTGTGCAGTATGAATAATTTCTATGGGCTTAATGGGAGGCCTGGAAAGAGGCTTCACTATATGTAGATGGGCCTCCCAAGACTTCTCAGAATATACAGAGGAGTGAATGGGTCTTTTTCGCTTATCCATCCACGGATGCACCAAGAAGATTCCATGTATTTACTAACAAATATTATTCAAATCTCTTACTGAATTTAAATCTAAAGTAATAACACGAAAACTATTAGTGAGTGTAGAATAGAATAAACGAAAGTGAATGTAAAGGGATGCTTTTAATATTAAAAAGAAAACGTTCCAAGAGAAATGAAAGGGACGAAGGAATGATCAAGAGCTCCATGATGGCTGACTTGAATGGGAAAGAGAGCAAGCTCCACACTTCATGAAAAACGCAGATGAAAGCCACAAGCCTTCCTCACTGTAATGATGGGAATGAGATTACAAAATGTTTTTCGGAGTGGAATCTTTTTCTCTGGACCCAGTTACGGAGCAAACAAGCCGACAAGAGGCCGCATGTTCCCTTTTTGCCTATATCCAGTATAAAATAAAACGTGAAAAACACCGACTTCATACGGGAGTAATCAAGCCTTAAACTTCCCAGTTGTGTTCGCAAGGAAGAAAGACAGGTGTAGTTTCCTCGCTAGCACTGGCTTGGTCTTGGACAACGACTGACACGAAAGCATGTTAGGTAAGGCTTGCATATTGCTTATGTCATTCTTTTAATTAGTTCACTCATTCAAACGCGCTTTAAACCCCCGTTCTCAGCGGCTTCTTTTTAATTTTTTTTTTTTTCATACAAACTATTTTGGTGTGGTTTTCGTACAATAAAAATAAAATAAAATAAAAAATAAAACTTATAGAAAAAAAAATAAAAATACCCCAGCACTTTTATAAGAAAATCAGAAGTGAAACATGCACCTAATTTGCTTGGTTAACAAACTTTGGTGTTATAAGAAAATCACACTTAAGCATTAATCTTGGGTTAATGTTAACCACATTCACTCCTGAATATATTTTCTGTAACGCATTTAATTATAATTTATAAATAAATCTTAAAAGAAACCCAAATTCAGGAGAGGAGGAGGGGGGATTCTTTGTACTTCGAATTGTTTTTTTTTAATTGAATAGCATTAAAAAGCTTTACTCGATTAGAAATAATTGTTTTTTTACCGATTAATTAGCATTTATTCTTATTGTTTTGTCAAT